TGGTGTTTGGAATTTGGATTGGTAGTTCGTTGTCTGATGTTTTATTTAAGAAAGGCTGAAAATGTTGATTTGTTTGAGAAATGGTAAAGTTCGGTTGAGTAATGTATTTTACTTGTTTTTACTCTGCAATTTAATATGTAGAAATTTCAAATTTATGTAGCCATTAATTTATTTATTCAAACCCCACCACCATTACCTCCATGTGTTTGTCTGTCAATTATTGGGGATTCTTGCACTTTTAGTCCCCTATGTTTGGCCAGGTTCCACTTTTGGTCCCCATTATTTTAGAGTGAATAAATTGTACATCAAAAGTTCAATTTTAAACATATTTTAATTTTAGCCCCAAAATTGTATTTTTCGCTAGGTTAGAACGGACAACGGGACAAGTGACGGAGGGGACCAAATGTTTTTAAAATTGAACTTTTTATGTGCATTTTGTTCACTTTGGAACAATGAGAATCAAAAGTGGAATTATATAAAACATACGGGGCAAAAAGTGTAATTCTCCCGTCAATCATATCCCCATATCGTGTCAGCCCATATATATTGATTTATTGGATACTTGTAAATAAGTAAATTTATGTTTGCACTAGAAAATACAAAGTAAAATATACAGCAGGAAATTACATTTTTAGGCCAACTTTTTATTTATTTATTTATTATTTTTTCTCTTTCATGCTTAGAAGACCACAACTACCTAAGAGTGTGTTTGGCTAAGCTTATAACATAACGTGTAAAAGAGTATATATGAGGTTTTATAGATTATAAGCTCTTCCAAAGTGTCTGTAATTTTTTTTATTTATTTATATATATATATATATATATATATATATATATATATATATATATATATATATATATATATATATATATATATATATATATATATATAATGCAATAATGATGAGAATCAAATTCAATTATAAAGAAACAGAGATTATTATTAATAATATATTGGGTAAATTACAAACACCCCTGAGGTATGGTCGATTTACAAAAAAATCCCTCTTGTTTGGATAATTACATCTACCCATCAACTATGATTTGATCTTACACCTCCACCCTTATGGTGTCAAATTCAACATAAATCGTCTAGATTTTGTGGAATGTGCTCTAGTTTGTATTCGTTTTGTATAAAAATACAATTTTTGATGCACCACAATCTGATATATACAAGCCAAAAAACACATATTATGATCATCTTGCTTCAAAATGTAGAGTTCGAATGGGATAAAACGGGTACAAAAGTGATAATATTCCTTATAATCTCGAAAATTCCACTAAATTTAAGAAGTTGAGGAGGTGATTGTAATTATAATAACAAGAGGGGATTTTCGTAATTTGACCATAACTCATTGGTGATTGTAATTTTTCTGTAAATGCACAGATCTCTGTGTCCCAACTCCCAAGTATTTAAAAAAGAGTAAACTGCAAATACTACCCCTGTGTTATCTCGAAATAGCAAAAACCCCCCTGTGATAAATAAACTAGCAAAAAACCCCCTGTGAAATTTAGTCAAAAGCAGAATCCCCCCTAGCTGATTTTTTAGACTTGAAATGACAAAATTGTCCCTCAAAATGTATTTATATATATACATATTATATGTATATTTATTCTTTTTAATTTGTTTGTTTAGAAATTAAAAAAAATATAAAACAACTAAATTGATTATTTGTTAAATAAAATAATTAAAATATTTATAAAATATAAGAATTTATTAATTGCAAGACTCCAGGGGTAATTGTGTCTTTTTATATCAAGTCAACCCTCAAATAGTTCCATAGGGGGTTTTTGCTATTTAAATAATTTCACAGGGGAGGTTTTTGCTAGTTTATTTATCACAGGGGGGTTTTTGCTATTTCGAGATTACACAGGGGTAGTTTTTGCAGTTTACTCATTTAAAAAATGCCAACATTAAATAATTAACACGTGACTATCATATACAGCTCATATTTTGTCTTATTGATTTTAATATTTTATGTTTTATAGATGCCCGGCCTACCACAGCTGAAATTATTGCCATTTAATTTTCTTACCAGCTTCATCTGATAGTGAAATCATTTATCTGCTACGTAGCACACACATGAAAACGATATACGGGGAAACGACATATCCAAAAAATTAGAATAAGGGAGCTCAGGGAAAATGTGTAAATATTAAAAGTATAGAGGTGTATTTATAAATATACTATATAAACTTATATAAGATTTCATGTATATACAAATATATTTTATATATTTTTGTACAAATTTATTCAAATAAATATTATTATCATCTACCAAATTGCAATTGATTATTAAACCATATAAATAATTAGGGAAGTAACAAAAATACTTGGAATTTCGCTGTTCGAACATGTTTCTAATTTTTTTAAAATTACAAAATGGCCCATAAAGTGGTTGGCACTGTCCTCGAGTGTCGTATCTTGAACACAGATATGTTAAGAAGTTGAAGTTTTTCGTGTTAGATAGATTTTTATGAATAATTATGTCAAAATCGTGTAAAGCAATATTCCAAAAATGTCAAAATAAGCTTGTGGATTAGATTGTTTGGATAGCACTATTTGTGGTCTATAAAATTCAATATATAAATCCCCTGCTATGAAGTAGATTCCATGAAATCATTAAGAACTTTCAACTAACCATCACTTTCACCATTAAAAAAAAAAAAAAAAAAAAAAATTGTGATGATGTTGAAAGTGGTTAAAAACAATTGTGCATTTATTAATACTCATTGATGAATTTAATTACTACTGTGCCATTTCAAGATTCAAAGAGACATTTCTTCTCTCCTCTCTCTCTTCTTGCTTTGTGTCACAATCAATCCATAATGATTGACTTTCTCTCTCCTCTCTCTCTCTCTCTCTTCTTCTAATAACTCTTTCTCCCATTCAAGTTTCTCATCAAGTTTGTTTGCTGAATGCATTCATTAATTTGATGTAGTATTCAACTTTTCGATTAGTACGGTGCAAAAGAGCGATCGATCGAACATGTCGCGTAATCTCTACGAACCACGCTCGCTTTTGTCGTTGCCGGACGATATATTTTCCGTAATAACAAACCTCCTCTCTCCGAAAGACATATGTCGTCTTGGCCTAAGTTGTCCACCTCTCAACTCTGTTCTATCCTCGGACAAAGTATGGATTGTCCAATGTGATAAACTAGGCCTAATCCCGTTCACCGCTCTCGTCGAGTGGAGAAACGGAGTTTGTTCTTACAAATCCCTCTGTAAATTCTTGGTGAATATTCGTCCGTTGATCGGTATTTGGGTCCACCAGAACCCCGAGCTAGGCAATGTAGTCTATGTTATGCCCGGTTTTTTATCGGTCGTTGGATGTCGGATAATCCCGCAAGTGGCGGACGGTCCGATTTTGTGGACGCCTGTCTTCGAGATCCTCTGCGACCACGTGGGGTCCACTTCGTTTTTCTTGCACGGGAGGGAGCGAGGAGACGACTGCATTTACCCCGGATTGTTAAAATCGGTCGAGAGGAAGTGTAACGTTCTTTCGCTCGAGGCGTCGTGTGAAATGACCGAAATGCCCTTCAGCCGTTTGGAATCCGACGATAGGGCGAGGCTGCTCGATGTTGTTACTAGAGAAATCGGGAATATTCTTCCGGAAGCATCAAATGTGGTATTTTTTCCTCGCTCGAGTAGCGATTTCGAAGTCCTGCACGAGAGGAGGTTGTCGCTTTTACGAATGTATGATAAGCGTGGTGGATTGAGTTTACGAGGTGTGAATATGGAATTAGATCGTTATCTAGCGTGGCCTCGTATGGACAAAAGTCAATCGTCTCTCTACAAGTTGACTATCGAGAAGTCAACGCGCGAGTACGGTGGTTTATGGGGAGGGACTTTTGGTTGGCCGCCGTCTGCCGAAAAGCCAGGTGGCGCCCTCTTCTTGATCTTGATCTCTTATGAAGAATCGAAACAACTAATGATTGGTACCAAGATATTAGAAGGTAACTCGTACGTTTGCTACCCTAATGGATCGGCTATGTTCATCGTGAACGCAGATCAATCATCGGAGGGAATATTCCCGTTTCACGAAGGATCTGATCCTATTGAAGTTAAGGAGTCGTTTAGTGGAGAAGGCATTGCGAACGGCTATGGTATGAGATTACCTAATTGGGAAAGCGGGTCGCTTTTCGTTCTTGAAAATGGATTGCTCGTTTTTTTATGGGAGGAGTCAAGGGAAGTATTGACTTTGAAGAGGCTCGATTTGGGGGAGCTTTTGACGAGAGGGGAAAGAG